CACAGGCATTGGTACAGACACTTGTACAGGGATGAGAATAGGTTTAGCTATTAGTATAAGTATAAACAGATGTATGAACATAGGCAACCTGAGAAACTCAGCTGCCAGATGAAAGGCAGCAACTTTCTTGCCTCCTCTACCCAGCCATGTAAAGGCAGTTGGGACAGCTTAAAGAATTCAGTTGCGAGAAGATAACTCATTGACAGTCATTCTGAGGAATTAAAAAAAACAGCAACATAATGATAAAATAAAAACCTGTATGCATGACTATAGCAGTTAATCTGAAAGTACAGATAATGGGCCTTTTACACGTGACTTTTTGCAAATGTACAATAGTTCAGCTGGATTTAGACCTGTTAGTTTTGTTTAAAGAAAGATCGATAACAAACATGCGAAACTGGGGCAAAAATGGGGCATGTAAATTCATATTTCTGATTGCCATTCTTGGCATTAACTTGCCTTATTCAGCGCCAAAACTTTCTTAATGCGTTACTGCTTTAGAGAAGCATTTTATTACCAGTTGATTATATTACAGCTGGTGTAGGTTTGCGGTTTCACATTTCCCCATTTGAGTCCTGCATTATAAATAGGATATGATTAGGGAATAACCAAGGGCCTCATAATTCACGTTCTTTTACATATCTTTTTATAGAATGATTTCTGAGACCTGTGATTGAAATCAATATAGCAATATAATTTTCCTGGTTTGTCACATAATTTTGAAATAAAATCCAGTCAATTTGCATTTGTGTCCCCTCAAAATCAATGTTATAGTGCACATTTACTGCCACGTGTTGAACATAATTTTTCTCTTTGCATTTCAAAGGATGTACAGTATTGATTGATTGGTTGATTGGATGGTTGGTTGATTGATTTGACAGTTTAATTATCAATCCTTGTTGCCTAGGCCATTCTAGAAACAACTTAAAAATCTGGCGTTGTATAGAAACAAAAAATAAATATGGAAGAGCTGCTTTTTATGGCTTTTATTTTCGTGCCTTTTTTCTTGTTTTTGTTTTTTTTTATGATTTCCCACTACAAAAATGTGTTTCTCATCCAAGAACTTTGCTCAGCTCCTGTGAGGCCAGCATTTGGCCAGGGAGCCAGGAGAAAAGGTCCAAAGGCCAGTGAAATATGAGGAAAATAGCTCTTCTGTTGTCTCAAAGCCCAGCTCAGAATTCTGGATTTTCAAAGCTGAAAAGTGGTGCTTATGCTTCTAGTGTTATTCAGTGATATCATTTACTTCAGTAGAGAAAAAGCACCACAACAAAACAAACAACATTTTATATTGATTTCTAACTTTTGTATTGTTTTCTAAGGAGTTGATATACATATATAAACAAAGCAGTTTGCCTTTTGTCTTTCTAGTACCCTCTCTCTTCCCATTTGAAATTTCATTTAAACATGCTAGTAGTGTGAGCCTGTAGTCGATGCTGCACAAGTATGCACCTCATGCTTCATTTCTAGTAAAGTTACATCAGTAAACACTCCAGCTCTCTTCAATTGCAGCAGAACTGCAGTGCAATTAATAATCATAATAGGTATTTTCTTTTCTGTCTGAGGCTGCGTATATTCACAATGACAAACAAGAGACTGTTTTAATTGCACCTGACTAGATAATATCATGTTAAGTCAGCAATAATAACAGGGAGGATACCTTCCTTTTGCAGAAAACAGTGGGTCCATTGAAAAACAAATGAATATGCAAATATCATAGTCAGTTACAGCTTGGGTTGACCTAACATTTCCCTGGCACCTCTACACATATTCATTAACTGGGTATAAAACACCCTGGGGCCATGTGCTATAAACTCTTGGCTTGGCAACATGCTATTTTTCTCCTTCTGTCTGCCAGTGATGTGAGACATTTTTTCATTACAGTCCATTATACCCGCCATCCACATGTCATATCTGAAATGTTGTGAAGGATTCTGACCACCTTTCACCTCTTGTTTTCACTCAGACTCTTAAGCTTGCTGTAAAGACCAGATATTCTTGAATTGATGGCTCCCTTTTAAGCCATAAAAAACTTAACCCCCTTTCAGCTTATGATTCTGACAGTTTGTCTTGATAACGTTGCTGCTCTCTGTTACATATCACTGCCTGTAGGCATTAGTTATGATGTCCCGGGAGTTCTGATGTAGAGAGATTCATTCTAACAATTTGCATTTCCTTGCAGCATGAACTTCCTCACAGGTCTGCTAATGGCTGATTTTTCTGAGGGGTTATTGATTTGGACGCTGTGAAAGTGGTGCACTGCACAACATTTCAGGAGTTGAGGAATTAGGATCGTGACCTTGCTTTTAAGAAAGAGACTGGGTTTGTTTTGTGGTGGGACACAGTTTGCATTCTCTGAAGAGTAAATGCAGGGTTTCAAAATCATCCCATTCCACACAGCAAATGATCTTGTCAGGTAGGGCTTCAAATACATGAACAGTGATGGGTGGACTTCTGAGGTCATCAGCTCAATTAGCAACTTAATACCAAACAAGCTGGATAGAAGATGAAACGTCTCCTGGGCTGAAACCTTTCTCTTGCTCCTCTGGGTCGTTTAATCGGACTCATGGAACTATGGAACTGTCTCTCTGAGTTTCAGTAGGAAGCCTGGAGCTTTTGTGTCCTTCTTTCTTGTTTGCTTTTGGAAAAGTAATTCTGTACAATGAACAGATACAAATTTGTTTTTCCATACTTATATGTGTTGGAGGCCTGGTAGCTCAGATGGCGTCTAGCTCCTACTGGAAGGTTCTGGGTTCAATCCCAGGTAGGGGCAAGTGACAGAGCTTGCTCTGATTCCTTCCAGAGGGCTCCCAAGTCCATTCCAAGTGAGTACCAGGGGTCTAATCCTTCTGGAAGTAACCAGTCTCAGGTGGTCAAAGAAGAATGGTGGCCCTTGCCCCCCATTACCCCATAGGTGCTTATGGCATGAAAAGAGGACCTACCTACCCATATGTATGTGTATTTCTATATGCATATAGAAATTCATATTTATATACTGTATGTATTTTCCTTTTGAACATATAAGATACGTTTGGAAGTCAACCCCTGTTTCATTTCAAGTCCAGGTAGTGATAGAATTTGAGGTCAGTCGCTAGGATAAGTCAAGAGCCCTGTCTTTGTGGAACTGTGAGTTGTGCAAGAATTATTGGAACAGTTGTCGTCTTTACTTTTGCCGTACTCTGTTCCTTGCAAATGGACTGAGATCACTTGGTGTCTCTGTGTGGCTTTCACTCGTGAGATCATTGAGGATCGAAGTGGGGCTCTTGCCAGTTCGTGAAAACAAATGCCAGTTTTCCTTCTTGCATCCTTCAGTGCATTTCATTATTTTTCCAGGATATAATTGCATTTCTTATTTCTTTGCATCATGTCCTACTACGGTTTAGTCTGTATCCTGTCCTGTGCAAAAACAGTTAGATCCATTCTTGGTGTGTCGGTGAGGGGGTTCTCCAGACATCCTAGAATTTTTGGTACAAGTGAAGTCATATGCAACTGACCTGTTTCATTATTTTCCTCTTTGCGATTTGTGGATGCAGAATTTTCTGTTCCCTAGGAGCACTGAGAATGTATTCACATGCTGAAAGCTGCAGGTCATTGAATGATCAATCTAGTAGGCTGTTGGACTTAAAAGCTGGAAAAGGGGGGAACTGCTGTTTATGATCTTCTGCATTAGCCAGGGCTGAGAATAGATTTTTGTAATTGAACGAAATAATTAAATGAACATTTCTGCTGGCATGTCACCTGTTTTACTGATGTAAACAACAGACAATGTAAATGTATTTAAAAAAGGGTCCTAAATCGAAACTACTAACTGTATCACATCAGAGATTTATAAAAGAGACTCACAGTCTTGCCTTCTATAGCTAAGTGCAGGGAATATTGACCTTCAGGGAAATAAACATGGCTGTCAAACAATCATCATCTGCTGAGAGGTGCGATTCTGAGATTATAGCTTGCCAACAAGCTGCGTTAAGCTTTTAGTCCCGATTAATTAACTAATTTCCATTCCTACAGCGCCTACCAGTCAGCCGTAGTTGGCCAGTGTAGAAGTTCAGTCAACAGCCACGGGGCGGCTGAAAATAGAACGCCTTTGCAATTAGTGCTGATCAATAAAGCTGTAGAGAAAAGGGTGGAACAGGGACAGTTGTTTTGCTCAAAACAAGGTCTTTAGCTTTTGTGGTTAAAAAACATGCAGCCAATACATCTACAGTATTCCAAAGTAGAGGAGCACTGTACTTTAATTACAGAATGCATAGCAAAACAAATATCACAGTAAAGTACTATAATTACTAACACAAATCATCACGAGTGCATCACCTTTGAATGCTATGCATTCTGATAGTATATTGGAGTTAATGTACTTCTGCAAATTTCTATAGCTGAACTACAGGTTTTATTTTCTGTGGAATAGACCACAACTTTGTGCAGCTAAATGTGATTATACTGTCTCCTTACTGGGGGTGGGCATACACACCCTCAGGCTCAGTCTGCTAAATATTCAAGGATGAGAATATCTTTCTCCCCCTGCGTGATTGAAATATGTATAGAGCTGTGAAAAAATAACAATTTTCACGTCAGACGCAAATTGCATTGTACAAGCTGGAGCAATCCTTGCTTTTATAGAATCAGACACATTTAAATGACCTCTCTGCTTCTCTGATTCTTGTAAGGTAACCTCTGTCATATTATAAATCAGGAGGTGAGAAGGTGAGGAATCTGAGCTGCTCTTCTGTTTGCTGGAGAAAACGTTGACTGAAACTGTGCAGGTTGCCTTTAATATGAAAGAGCCTAATAAGCCATATCTGTTATGCAGCTGCTAATTTATTTCACATACTGTCCCTCACAAGCCAGCGAAGGGACAGCATCTGGTGCCAGTAAAGAAAGCTATCGATGCCTTCGAGAACTCTCTCTGCACGTCTGAAATGAAAGCAATTTGAAGCTGTTTGCGGATTTGTATTGGTTCCTTTGTTCTTCTCTTCACTTATTTGTTTTCCTTGTCTCCTCAGGGCCGCTGCTCACGAGAAAACTGCAAATATCTGCACCCTCCTCCTCACTTAAAAACACAGCTGGAGATAAATGGACGCAATAACCTGATCCAGCAGAAAAACATGGCCATGCTAGCCCAGCAGATGCAGCTGGCCAACGCCATGATGCCTGGTACACAGCTACAACCTATGGTAAGCGAGCCTTTCAGATGCTGATCAGACAAAACTGGTGACCCAGACACAGACTCTAAATGTGGTCCAGGGACTTTTTTTCTTTTCTTTGTGGGGGGGGCTAGGGGGGGCAGGCTAGCGTGGACACCTGATCGGATGGGTCAGATGTCCGACAGATGCTGGCGTTTCACTGGAGCACAGTGAGGAGTTGTAACAGTGAAGAATTGTGACCGGGCTGTTCTAACATTTGACCAAACGTCTGAGGGGCTGATACGAAGTTTCAAAAACAAACTCCCTCTCTCTTTAATTTCTCGGATTAACAAATCTGCCGAGCTTCAGCTGCTAAACTTGGCTAACATTCCTTAATAAAGTCGAGCTGAAAAGGATCCCATTTGGCCATTTTTGAGGTGCTGACTCTTAAAATATGTCAGATATTCCTGCAGTAATTAATAATGCAGGTTGTAAAAGTGTTTATGATTTTTACATCAAGAGAATTATGGGGGCACAAAGATTGACTTTTAAATGTTTAACATTTTCCTACATTGTTCAAATGTAGCATAAAAGATACAAAATTGGGCTCTTTTCATGCTATATTTATATGACAATATATTCAAAGTCTGAAGAGGCTGAGGAAATGTTCAGGATTGTACTAATATGTGGAGTAAGGTCCATTCCTTTAATAGGAAGAGAAAACAATTGAGATCTTATTGATGAAAGTAAAGTAGAATTAAATCAAATAATTTGTTCCAGCGTTGCAGTAACATATGAACATATGAAATAGCGTGTTACCCCATGAAGATCTAGAACTTCCATCTTTCGCATGGAAAAGCAATTAATGTGTGCTAATTTGTTTTGACAGATCAACTACTGTCATATTTAGGTTACTTGCATTCAGTAGTGCTTTCTGTATGCATTTTCCAAATTGGATAAATATTAGCAAAATCCTAGACTGTTGATGTTGTTTCAGATACATGTAGTTTATCTAAATGATGATTTTAAAGGTATGGTCGTATCATGAGAGTTAGAGAATGATAAACTCTTAGATCTTCAGCTGTTAAACATGGGGAGGTATTTTTGATTGCCTGTTAGAAATACAGGACCTGTAGATGAGTAGTGGTCCTGAGACAGAGCGCTGGTTGTATGCCTGTGCTGTTTTGAAGCTGCCCTGTGTGCCAGCCCATTGCAGGCTGAGTGCTGTAAGATGATCCGGGTGTCTGGGACAGCTCTGGGACGAATCCCAGCCTGGCTCATTGGCTCGGTGTCTGGAGGCTGGGAGAGAGCTAGTGGGTGCAGTGTCGGAGCTTGGGTCCTCTCAGGACTCTGGGACAGAGATGGGAAGAAGTTGCACTGATAATCACCGAGGGTTTCAGCCAAAGAAAAGTGATGCTTTCTCATGTGTACTCCCACAGATGTAGGGCTCTGTTATCTATAGCTCTGCAGCATTTTCTTTTTCTGTCCAAAGACTATTCCCAGTTCCTCCATTTATCAGACATAAGAAATTATTTGCTCATACACAAAAAGCCTTTTATAGTTGCACATGTGATTAAATATGATTTGTATTCATTTTGGACAATGTTCTGCATGTGGTGATAAATGTTTTATTAATGTAAGCCAGAGGCTTATATATATATTTTAATTAATATAAATATTAATACAGTGTGTTAGAAGGTATATATCACTCTCTCTGCTGAGGGAGCGTATCTCCTCTCTGTCTGAACCTTCTGTCCATCCTCTGCTTTTGAACTGGTGTGTAGTCCTGCAGGACACAGCATTCATTTTCTCTGCGTTACATCTCCAGGTGAAATTCAAGGTAGGGTCCAAGTGTCAGGGCTTGCTCCTCTAAATAAAAACCTGAGCAAGCCTTCTTTCATACCTGTAAAAGAAGCTTTGCTTATGCTTTACAAGGCTGGGTAAGATTAACTGCAGCACAAAGCAATTTAAATGGAAAGCTAAGCAAAAAAAAAAATGTTTAGCAGATTTCAAACATACGTTAGATTTCTCCTTGATGCATGTAAAGATTTTCTTCTCATTGTGCCAAAAAAGACAGCATTCTTTTACACTCTCACTCTCCTGCTCTATTTCTCTTTAGGGGGAGGGAGAAGGTAATGTTTCCGCAGGAGCAGTCAAGCTTCTTATCTTGTCTGAGACAGAATAAGTGAAAACTAAATGTTTGAAGGAGATGTACTTTAGAGGGAGTAACGAAAGCTCTGAAAAGTGATATGTAATGGATCTTAAAATTACGTTCAAGCCCTATACTAAATCACAAGGAGAGTGGAATGAAGAATAGCAGAGAAGAAAGAAAAGCATTTTTTTTAGTGTGGGAGCTTATTTTAATTTCATGCATGATTTATCATTGAAGATGATCTAATTAGTTCACATTAATATCTGAGGCTCCTAGATACTTGAAATTAAAAAGACAAAGTTAATTGTAATCCCATCACTAGAGGTTAAAATTGGCACTATTCTAAAAAGCCACAAGCTACCCAGTGCATTATCCCTCTTGCAATGTATTATCCTGCATCTGTCTTAACTGGAATGCCTGTGGAAATGTTTAAATATTAGTCTTTTCAGAGCTGCTTTTCAAAAGCAGAACTTTTTTTCAAAAAATATTTTTGTCCTGCTGGTAGACTTCTCGATTTCAGAACGATCACCGACCTTCGATTAAATGTTGATGCGTGTTTTAAAAATCAAGAAGCCTGAAGAGGCTGCTGACAGCATGCAGCATGCGCTGTAAAAAAATCAAAGCACCTACAAGTTATCCTTTGCTTTTCTGGCATTAGAGACTTGATGAGGTCAAGGACAAGGTGATACTGTCTTATTTTAACCGGTGACTGGAATAATATTGCTGCCCTTTGTAATGTTTTATTCCCAGTTACAAAACTCATAGAACAGAGCCTGTTGCTTGGTACAGGTCACTTACAGTTGGGTGCTGACCCCATGCTTTCTCCAGCTTGTTGGTTCTCAAGGTTTGCTTCACCTGCTGATAGCCAAGCTTTTCTCATAGCACAGAAAGTGGAAGTGGAAGAAGCGGTCGTCCTTGAAGCACTTTCTTTGCAGCTGGGGGGGCGGGGGGGCCTGTGGTGTGGGAAAGTGCGGGTTAAGAATTCGGCCTAAATCGCGCTCCTCCTGCTCAGTGGCGCCCCCTGCTGTCTTGTCTTGCAGCCAATGTTCTCTGTCACGCCAAGCCTAGCCACCAATGCTACAGCAGCTGCAGCCTTCAACCCCTACCTGGGGCCCGTGTCTCCCGGCCTGGTCCCTGCGGAGATTCTGCCCAGCGCCCCGGTCCTGGTCACGGGCAACCACGGCGTCCCTGTGCCTTCTGCGGCCGCCGCCGCTGCGCAGAAGCTCATGAGGACCGACAGGCTGGAGGTAAGGCGGCTGCATCGCGGTGACTTTCTCCCCCTCCCCCTCCTCCTCCTCGTCCGCAAGTCTGGGGTGACCTGGGTCGATCTCAATCCCAGGGCCCCGGCCGCTTCGATTCTCGGGGGCGCTCGGTGTCCCGGACGAGGGGGCGCAGCTAATTGCGAGCTCCTCCCCTGCCACTGGGGGGCACTGCAGCTTCAGTCTCGGGGGAGGCGCTCTGCTTCACGGCCGCCCGGCTGTGTTCGTGGCCTCCCTCCGCGTAGTTGCACGCGGCTCTGCTGCGCCCCTGCCTGGCTTCGGTCACGGTCGCTCACTGGCCCAGAACAAACACGGCGCCCCTCCCTGCCACTTTTCCGAAGGCTTCTGCTTCGTGTGTGTGAGACGGCAGCGAGCTCAGAGCGGGGCTCCGCCCTGGCCCGGGTTTCAAGGGGGCTGACTTCACTTCCACGACTCGCTCGGTATGCCTGTTACACATGGAGGAGGAGGAGGAGGAAAGGAGGTACAAACAGCAGAAATGACCTGAAAGTGCAGCAGTGCTGATCCGTTCACATGCAATCAAACATCCTGTTGTGTTTTTGGAATGTGCTGTGAAGTAAGAGTGCGTCTTGACAGTTGCACTTCCCATAATCTTGAACGTGAAGCCTTCCTGCGGATGAGTTCGACAGAAAGTTCGGCTTGGATTATTTATTGAATTTCTAGTAGCGCCTTCAGTGATTAAATTAATGACTCATCTTCAGCCCACGTGAATAGATAAAGGTGTATGTGGTCAGGAGTGTGCTGTGGAGATGCTGGTAAACAGATCTGTTGCACATTTCTGTAAATGAAGACATAAATAAGACGGCATAACGTTGCCATAAGTATATATTATATGTACATGTACAAACATACAAAATATGTACAAAAATATATGACGTAGAATGTGCAAACCCTGCTAGTTTTTAAAGGCTTCTGCTCTGTGTTTCTGCTACACAGAAATCTGTTGACTTGATCAAAAATGTTCGAGGGTGCTGTTCTGGTCATCTGCTTCAAGGCATCAGTACATTAGAAAGTCAGTTATTTCCATTCTGAATAAGTACATGTATCGTTGGCAACTGCACAATTGAGAAATCGTTAAAAAATAAGCTGTACAGTGGTCTGCATCTTTAACCAATTAAGGTAGTAGACACCGGCTCAGTATTTGAGAAAGCATGTAGTACTTGTGAATCTATCATCAGAAGCTAAACAGGAAGAAAATCAATAGAAAACTAACTTATTATCGAAGGCACAGGACTTGGCTGGCATTAGGTCTCTTACAGTATCGTTGATACTGTGCTGGAAATAGCAGTTTTACTCTAAGTAAGCTGTCTATTCACCCCTGCAAAACAGACTTCAAAACGGTCTAGAAAAGCAGTCGGCAGTAGGTTTTGCTAGCACTTGTGGGTGGCTTTCTTTTTTCGCTTGCAGAATCTGTCATCCTGTTCATTCCTAAAATGAGAAAACTGGTGCAGTTGATCCACATTAGAAGTTCTAAATGACCATTCTAAATCAACATCCTGTCGAGTAGGTCAAAGTCAATGCAAGACTTTGTTTGCAGAACTAAAATTAAGCCTCGGTTCCCTTTTGAAATAGATTTTCAAATGCAGAACTGAATATGCAGTGAATTTACTACTTTTCTTAGTTTTGTTTTGCGTTTTGGAGTCACAAATGTGACTCATTCATTAAGTTTGAACTTAATGTGTAAGGCTTGAAAAATGTATTCCATATCGCTCCTGTTCATGTGCACTTAAAGGCACAATAAGGGAAATACAAGGCACAATTTCTAATTTGTAAAAATATTACCTTTTCTACAAATTCCACCCCTTTTCATTTTTCATTCCTTTATTTTTATGCTTGTCTCAAATGCATGAAAATTCATTAAATAATTGCTATTAGAACATTTCTCACTGCCTGTCATTGAGGCCGCCCTGCAGCAGAGGATCTCAGATTTATTAATACATTACAGGGCTCAGTTTCAGATTTTTTTAAAGGAATAAATATTGTATTTCGTTCAAAGGTTTATTGACTACAGTATTTGGTCTTCCTACAGAAGCAGTCAAATATTACACAGTGCCAAGACCTCCTTTGAACAACAGAAAAGGAGTGCCCTCTAGTGGTCACTAGGAAGTAAAACCTATTTAAATTCAGTGGTACACTGAGGGAATAAAGTCATAATAAAGTCAAGATACCAGCAATTTATACCACACTATGTACAAATAGCTATATACATAATTATATATAACATTTTATCTTCCTGCAATACAACTAACTTCTAATGACGCTGAATCAGCATCTGTAATCATCTTCCTACATCATGTCTTTAAATAGTGCTTTATGTTATGACAAAGCACTTATGCCACTTTCATGTGTATTTGCGTTTATGCTAATGCACAGCAGAAACGCGACACCCAGATCTAATGTATTTAATCGAATATGGTAAGTGTAGATAGCACACAAACTCGGAAAATGGGAACAGAAATACAGCTTAAAGAAACGTGATAAGTTTTCACTAGGAAGCTTGACACACTGTCAAATTGATATCATGTTAGTCCCAGGTGACTCACCCCTGGACATTAACACGGACAGTGTTGCATTATAGTCCAGTTCAGCGCTGGACGGACAGACAGACTCTTTCCAGTCAGCTGCAGTCAGCTGGGGAGGTTTAGCCAGCTGTAATTGGCTCCTGTTGATATCGGCCATGGCGTGATGTCGACATTATTGTCTTGAGGTTTACAAGTTTTAACCCTAGCATGGTCCAGTCTCGCATTGTCCTAGTGGAAAACTGCAACTTCAGGACTGGCTACAGGAAGACTTTGTTAATGTGCCGCAGAGTAGTAAGATTGACCCAAACTGCACAAAAGGTTTAGTTGTGTCCAGGACAGTTTCCCTTAAATCATCATACTTTTTTTTCTGAAGCCCATTCATGGAGTTTATGCAGGACAGGATTCATATACTAATGCAGAGTGGTTTTAGCATCAGAAATGTGCCCAATGGGCTATTGGTATAAAACATAAATTGTTGCATTTTATTAGTTTATCAGAGTATCTTCTCGGTTAATCATACGGCTAAACAGGTCGAGCAATTCAAGGATGATGAGTGCTAATTATCTCATTAAATTACCTTTATTCCATTTCTTCTAATATAATTTCTTCTCACCTTCTAATCTCTTCTTACAAAATGAATAGGAAAAAAAGTAACTTCATCAGCAGTAGAATGAGGCTCCATATTGAGCAGCAGCCCCACGTAAAATAAGATTTTACATTGAGGCATCTGCCGAGGGGTGTGGATACATTTGGTATAATGGCGTGCTAGGGCTTTAAGACTGCATTGGAGTGTCATAACACGTGCTGGAATGAAAACAGTGGCTGTCAGAGGTTCTTGTCAGATTTTGTCTCCATTAGGAAATGTGCTATGGATGTGTGAGTTCTCATTCATAGATGAGGAACAAGTAAAAATTCATTCCACACTGAGAAATAAAGGAGAAGCACAGCGTTTCGGCAGACGAGTCTTCTTCTGTGTGCTTCTCCTTTCTCCCTTTCAGTCTGGAGTTGACAGGTGCTTGTGCCTTTGCAGCCAGCGCACACTGGCACAGCTGCCCGCTCGAACCTCTCACTCCCGGATGATGTGAATGTGTTATGTGTGAGAGCAGTGGCTGACCGCCGTGGTCCTGTGTGAAGTTTTATCTGCGTTCCCAGTCGTGGTGCGGGGGGGGAGTTCCTTCTTCTCCTCGAGCCGTTGTTGGGCTGGGCGGCCGCCGCAAGCCGAGCCACAGCGCCGCTGTATCCCTGCTGCCTCAGGACACACGAGGACACGTCGGTTTTCTTGCCCGCTCACCCCGGGGGGGGGGGTTTCCTGTTGCAGGTGTGCCGGGAGTACCAGCGCGGAAATTGCACAAGAGGGGAAAACGACTGCCGCTTCGCTCACCCCTCCGACAGCGCCATGATCGACACCAATGACAACACGGTCACGGTGTGCATGGACTACATCAAGGGCCGCTGCTCCCGGGAGAAGTGCAAGTACTTCCACCCGCCGGCGCACCTGCAGGCCAAGATCAAGGCCGCCCAGCACCAGGTCAACCAGGCCGCTGCGGCCCAGGCCGCCACCGCCGCTGCCATGGTAGGTGCCAGCGCCCCTGCGGCCTCCCCCTGCAGGCGCCCCTTTCGTCTTTCTCTGAGCCTCCCAGTGCAGCTCTGCCGGGACGACCTCGTCCTTAAGGAACGGCGAGCAGAAACGGCACGGGGCGTATAGCTCTGCGAGGTCGCCCTACTTTTACCGTAGAAGTTCTTTAGGGTTTCGCATCGCCAGGCAGCGCCTGCCGCATGATTGCGTTACGAGATTAGGACGGCATTCTTCTTTGCGTTTGAACCAGTGCCTTCCTTCTCCCTGTGCTCAGCTCTTTGTAATGTTATAAGTCTCCTTCACACAGCCGCCTAACTTGATCCGTAGGTAGAAGGTCATGTTAGCACTGTTTTGTGATATGTGTAGCTCCAGCTAGCTGAAGAACTGAGTCCGTGTTTTGTTGCTTAAACCCGATAACCCTACAATTGTTGAGCAAAAACCAAAGAAAAAAGCAGCACAGGCAAAATCTGTTTCATTAGATTTACCTTGTTTGTAATTAACTACAGGTCTTTAGTCTTACAATAACAACAGTAGTGCCTTTATTGTGCATGCTTAGTCTTGTTATTCGTTGTATATTGCATTCCGATGATTTGTTTTTTATTTGTTTTTTTCTCACCTACCCAAAATGCACTGCTGCCCCCATGATGCACCTCTGCTTGCTGTTTATGTTAATGCGCTTGAACCCCATTGGCCCATTGCCATCATGTGCTCGCTGCCTGCTAATTAAGACTCAGTCGGCTGTCAAATCACTGAAGCGACCCCTCGAGGCAACCTTTGACCTGGTACTATGACCTTTCACCTTTTAGCTTGGCATGTAGCTTTATTGTAGATACAAGTTTTGACTAAAACATTGTTCAATTAATTACTATTGTTATTTTTTGTTGCAAATATTTCATTCATGGTGATAAATTGATTGTGGCATTTTCAGAGTAAATTAAATTTTTGGGATTTTTGTAATTTCATATTAAAATATCAATTTAATAATTGAACAGATTTTTTTTGTAAATTTAACCACATTCAGTTCATCACCTGTAGACTTTTCTAACTAAATATGGAGAGGGTTCTTTAAACTGTATTTATAGTATCTGTATCTGTGTGGTTGGCATGGCTCTAGTTAAAAAGGATTTAAATGTTTAGTATTTAAATATCTTGCATGTATTGTTTCCAGTTTTGCATGTCTAATTTGGGGGTTAAAAGTCTGGGGTTTAATGTGTTATATTCCTGTTGGATCTTTATAAATCACTTGCTAGAGTAAGAATTAACTTGGCTTTCACTGTTGATTCTCATGGAGCTAGCAGTGCAGCTTTCTGTTTTAATATCATTTTTGTTACCATAGGGCTGTTGCTTTGTATTATTTAAACATGAAGATGCTTTTTAACATACAGCTCCAATTTTTGTATTAATTTCTGTTAGAGAAATGCTTGCTTTGTTCAGCGTTATTATTATTATTATTATTATTATTATTATTATTATTATTATTGTTGTTGTTGTTGTTTTAGTTAGTAGAGATGTCTTGCTTTTTTAAGTAGTTCAGTCTGCTGCTTGCTTGCTGGTTGCTAGAGAAGGTGATGGGAGACTGTTTTTGTCCTCTACTGATAACTGTTTATTTTCTTTCTTTTTATTTTCATTCTGCTCCTTTTCTCCCTCCTTTCTTTCTGTTGCACATCCTCGTTTGCAGGGAATACCGCCCGGTGTGCTCCCTCCATTACCAAAGAGACCCGCTCTTGAAAAAACCAATGGTGCCGCCACTGTCTTTAATACTGGTGTTTTCCAATACCAACAGGCTCTTGCTAACATGCAGTTTCAGCAACAAACCGCATTTATCCCATCAGGTAGGAGCGTCTGCTTACTGTGAGACTCCGTAGACAAGCGAGGGCAGATTATTTCATATAGCACTTACAGATTAACACTTGTTTGTCTTTATGCGATAACCCCCTTACATACAGTTTCGGGTGTTCATTGACATGAACTTACAGGAATACCATTTTCCTCCTTACTTTTTACAACAGCAGAGAATCGGGAGAACAGTCATGAACTTTCGTATGAGATCTCTTTTCTTTGCGGGACAGTTATTGGGTGCTCAGAGTCTCATTCATTGTTAAATCTGGATTCCTAATGGTTAAAAATCAAATCCAAGATTACTGTTTTCTAATGGAATTTGAGATGGCCTGTTCTCCTTTCTTTGGGCTCCTTTGCTTATAGCTTTCTTCACTGAAATGGTTTGATTAAGCATGATTGCTGCTGGTCCCTTTTAAAAGCACAACCAAGGTTAACTGTTGTCCTTGACATCAGTTTGTAAAGCTTTCTGTGATATCGAGGTTAGTTTTGATCAAACCTCCCTGACAGTTTATTGGATATTGTAAAGGACATTCTAAAAATAAAATGATATTGATTGCAGGGAACATTATACAGTTTGTTCAGGGCATTGTGGGATTGTAGATTCACTGCAATGTATAACTTAAAATTAAACAAGCAGCCTTGCTGTGTTTTATTTAGTCTTGCCCGTTTTTTTAGCTTTCGTTCAGAAATCATGAATTGTTGTTTTATAATATCTTATTTACAACGAGAATGCATCTCAGACAACATCTCAGTTGTTTTAAAAATAAAAGTATGAAAGTGATGTATCGGCACCAGTTTAGTGTGGCCACACAGTTTTAAGTGATTACAGATGATGGTAAAAATTTCATATATTTAACTGCTGCTACATTTATCCCTTGGTAACCATAACTATTTGATATGATGTGGTCAAAAGACCACATATTTCAATCATAACCAGGCTTTTCACAGTTACCGCACCTAACTAAATAAGTAAAATGGAGCTGTTATTCCAATCTGTTATTTTATTACTGCAACAAAACGGGATTTTGAGCAACCAGAACACACACTCTGATCAATTCTCCAAATTTAGATTCCCCTAGGGCAGTATGGAGGCATGACAGTGAGCACCGCCCGACAGATCTGTCTGTGTGGAGCTTGCATGTTGTGCTCTTAACTTGCCTGTTTTTTTTTTTTTCTGGGTGCTCCTAGTGGCAGGTTTGACAGTGATAGCTTTACTTGGTGACTCTGAATTGAGCTGTTAACCACGGCCGAGGAGTGGACTGGTGTCCCATTCAGTTGGAGAGCACTCATTAGTTACTCATTAGTTAGTTACCTTGCGCTCCTGAGATAGCCTGTAGATTGTCGTGATCCTTCCCAGTACAGACACTCTGAATAGAATGGGACCGGATAGATTCCTCCTTTAGTTTGTTTGATGGCTTTTCAGATCGGGTGGGTCCCTCAGCAATCATTGTCAGTGTTATTTTTTTAATTTTGCGCCCTCTTCTGAAATGTCACTGCAGCTTTAAGATTCATGTGCTTCACATTCCTCTGCAGTTTTGTATGTGCTAACAGATCCTGTACTGAGATCTGAGTATCCACCTGGACTATCCTGGCTGAATGCACAGCATGCTTAAAGAGTCTTTTTTTTTCCCCTCGTGTAAGGATGGTATTAACAGTGATCAATGACCATTTTCCCATCATGTGTCTGATAATAATTTTTACGGCGACAATTACAGTAGTCATTAGACAGAAAGAATTTTTCATAATACTTAAAGGTGTTCCTTTTTTAAGTCTTTGATACTTTTCATTATTATTTAATTTTACTTAGATTTTTCTATGTTTAAGGTCAGTAGTAGCTTGAAAACCTTAAACTTATGTAGGCGTTTTACTAGTTCAGTGTAATTATAGATTGAGAGTTGTGCTAATTATAGAAAACTTTGTATTCCATAAAGGAATCAGCTAATGTTCTAATACATTAATACTGTTAGAAAGGTCAAAGTGATCTTTTTTACCTACTGAATAATCCAGAAGATAGGTTTTTAAAAACAATTAATTCACCCAGCTATTGTCTGCAAGATAGTTTTGCTTAGGTTGGACTTTAAGAAAGCTGACAGTTTAGATGTTGGGTGCAGTCATTTTAAAACTGTTTAATGGGGTAACCTCTAAGGTTAGCCAGGTGAATAGTACCTGAAATGAGTTGTTTCACATGTGTCACTTCAGGTACAGACTGGTACAAACATTTGGGTTATTTCTATTTTATAAGATGAATGCAACAAAAGTAACAGTCCATAGATATTTCTAATTTTACAATGAAAAAGAAATTAGAAACCAAGGTGGATGCCAGAGTTCTTGAAAGGCCACCTCAGGCTCCTGACATGAATCTGATTGGTGGGATTAACCAGAGTCAGAGAGAAATGTGTAGAAGCCAACTAGTTTATCTGGGTTTACAAGACATCGGCTGTACACTTCCTGCATGAAGGCTGCAATAATCAATTCAAAACATAAAGAAGCAAGTAGTGAAAATTAAAAAACAAACTGTTGTCTGACATAGTGAAAATATTACAGTTCGTATTACACTTTACATCAGTCATAAGTAAAACCCAAAACAATTTTGAAACAGCCCAAATGTTTGAGCAGAATTATGTGTCTGAATGTTTACCAGCACTTGGCAAGATTAACACCATGTTGTTCCTTGAAACAAGCACTCTTGAGTAGCTGATGACTATGTGAATTGATTGTGCTTTTAATATTTATGCAGCTGTTCCCATAACAACATTTTCTTTCTTGTTCAAATATTTATTTTTCTAATTACACTTGTGATGGGTTGTTTTGATTCTTTTCCCCTTTCCAATCCACCTTCCTGTTGCAATGCATGATGGGCAGGCTCGATTTTGTGCATGACACCTGCAACAAGTGTTGGTAGGTGCCAGCTTTCTTTCCTAATTCCGTAAGTGTTTCCAAGTGCTCACACTCCAACAAAGTCCACGGGTGCCCTCATCTCTACCACGGTGCGCTGCGCCACCTTTCTCCACTAACACCTCTCCATTTGATACAAAAGTTGAAATCCAAGTAATGCTTCACATTTTTAAAAAAAAGCAAGCAGTCACGTCATCCTGCAGTTGTTAAATCCTGTCTCTGTGATCATGGCCTGTGTATTTTGGTGGGTTGTGAGTCTCAGATGAAAGGTCTGTTTATGATTACGTAGTGTGATTGTTTTTTTTTTTGTTTGTTTTTTTCCTGAATAACATTTTAAGCACAATTAAAAGATTTTGGATATTAAATTCCTAGCAGAAAATAATTTGTATGTTAGTATTGTACATGACTTTCTATGTATATATGGTGGATGTTATGATGTGTTATTTTAGTAGAAAAAACTGTTGACTGCTAATTATTAAATGCATGTACGCAGAATTAAGTATTTTTTTTGCAGACAAACTAAAAATGACATTTTTAAAAAATATATATTTTTGTTCCGTTTACTGAACATCTTGGAATGATTTCCCTGCTTTGCATTATAATTGCATGTCTCCTGCTGATAATAATAACTTAATATTCACATGGCTTATTGCTGGTATAACTCTACCATGCCTTAATACTCTCTACCACACGTTTGCGTCGTTACCCATATTGCTACACTCTTCTGTCTGTTTGCTTATGTGATTCTCCCTCCGAAAGTTCCCATGATGCACGGTGCTACGCCCGCCACTGTGTCCGCAGCAACAACATCTGCCACAAGTGTTCCCTTCGCAACAGCCACAGCCGGCCAGGTTAGCTCATCTACAGCTTCCTCTCTCCATACAGAGCGACTCCCAAGAGCAGTTTTAATACTGGGGAAAGAGAATCCCTCTTGTTGGCCTACACTGACACCGAACGCTCAATTAAACCCCATCGCTGTTTTGCACCATGAGAATCATTGCACTTTTTGAAAAAAAATAGTGTCCTCGGACACTCTGCCAGGTGTTGGAGCTGAGCAACATCTGTGACACAGAAAACTAAGGAAGGGAGACCAAGAGTACTTTTTCTCGTTACGGTTACAGTACAGGGAGGGGATGTGAGGGGGTAAACTCACCAGGCTGGCCCTTACACCATAGTGAAGGTGTTTAAAAAGGACAATACACTTATCTGTTGATCCTTTTTTTTCACACTGCCAGTCTTTCTGTATGCCATTTAGCTTATGTTTCGTGCCATAGCTGACGAGCAGTTTTTCATGTTGGTCAGTGCCACGGATTTAGTGGGTCCAGGAGTCACGAGCTTCCATAGTATATCGATTAAATGAAAACTTTTCGACTATTCAGGCAGAGCATTCACTGAAGAATTCATGACAAAGTTCAGTATTTTGTATGTAGTTTCATTCACACTCACCCAGCCTAGAAAATGATTAACCTTACTGTAGAGCTTACTGTCTTTATTTTAATGTTCATTTGAATGTAGTACATAATTTTAATGTGCAATTTTTGTCCTTTCTCATTTGAGGAATCTCCCTTATCAAAGTTGACTACCTACGAATACATGCATTTGGTATGTATGAGGTAGTTTTTGCTTAAGATCTGTATGTGCAATGTATGCAGTTTGTGCAGTATTTGCACGCCTGGACTCCAGCTTCAAATTGACATACTTTGGCATACTGTAACTACCTCGTCATACTAAACATTTGCTTTTTACAGCTGAAATATTTGTGCAAATATATGCCAAAGTATGAAAGTGAACTAAGCCATTGCACCTGCTAAGATTCCCTAGACATGATATAAGAGATCCGTTGTAGTCGACATTTAGAAGTGTGATGGCCAGGAGTTCATTTGATTGGTTGAGTCAAGAGCCCAAATTGTTTTTGCTTGATTGTTTTTTCACATTATCGCCACATATCAACGGCAAATCACATAATATGATCAATTCCTAATTGACTTTTTGAGGTTTTCAGTAAATTTGCATCTATTTTCATAATTCATCAAAACCAGATCCAATCTCTCTGTGGAGGTCAACAAGAAGGAAAGTGGGGTCTGCATGGGGGAACTATAACCCTCTCTTCCTCTTACCCTCCTGTCAGCTTTTAACACTGTTTAGATTTGGTCAACAGCACTAAAATAACGTATGGCTCCTATTTAAAATTCTGTGTTTACAAGTAGGATTACAGTCACGTGCCAATCAGTATGTAAACTCATTTTTCTTTTCCAAGTACTGTGCAATGGGGAATGTTTCAATTGTGAATGAGTTCTATTAATGTTTGAAGTGCAGTTTTAAACTTTGAGAGTTTGTAGTTCTTAGAAGTTATTTTTTAATTTTTTTATTTTTAGATTCCAATAATATCTGCAGATCATCTGACTAGCCACAAGTACGTTACTCAGATGTAGGAAGCTCTACACAGAACAGTAAGTTCTCTTTTTCATTTCCCTTTTTAAAACCTTGTGCTCTATTTCCTCATTTTACTTTTTGATAGGAGTACTTCCAGACGTCTTCAGATCATTACACAAAGGGCGGTTGTGCTTCATAAAGACAGGACGATGGCACAGAAACACTAATTAACAGCTTTTCAGAAGATCTCGAGAGCTTGCTTAACTTGCTCATTACAAATGCGTGGAATATAAAATCATGTATAGACAAGTTACTTTGCCAAAGCTGCTACTGGCAATTCAGAAAATATTTTTAAAGAATTGAGCATTACATTTTAATACATTGAATTTTATTTTTCCTTTGTCAAGAAATCCTAAGTGAATGACATTTTAAAGCAGCATTCCTCATTCCTGGGCATTCTAGGGTTTTGTCACAAGTGTAGTCCCCCCCCCCCCCCCTTTAAGGGCGCTCTGGCTCTTTCACTTCGGACCTGATTTTGTGCACCTGCCCCCTGTTCCAGCCTCCTTCCAGCCCACCTTAAAAGCCAGACGCTGACGTTGGTTTCTGCATCATGCGAGCCCGGACCTGGATGTGCCTGGCTCCGTTATGCTTTTAGTTTCTGTTCCCGTTCCCGTTCCCGTTTCCCCTGCCGGTCCTGACCCGGCTCTGGTTTTTAATCGTCAGTCCCGGATGGATCGCCTGGCTTTAGACTTTTGCCCTGTCTTTGGATTCCGCTTTTGACTCGTCCCCGGATTGTTTGCCTCGGCCACACCTCCCCCGAACACCAGCACTCCATGGACACGCCCCCCTGTTTTCATCCCCGTATCCTGCATGACTTTTTCCCCATGTTTTCTTCACTTTTCCCTGGATTGTGTCGTCTGCATAGGGTCTGTAAAGAAGGCTTTCGTTACAGGTTTCTTTTAATCTTAGTGACTGAATTGAATCAGTTATTGATGTAATTGGTCATAATTGGTCGTTGACACTTTACACTCTTCAGGGCTAGAAGGGAGGATTTCTGGTCTACATTATGTTTAATACCTACAGCTTGTAGTCTGAAGCTTCGTAGTGACATACTGTGGAGCACAGTAGTTACCTCATCATTGCTTTGGACAGCAAAAACATTTGTCCATATTAGTGCCCAAATATAAAAGTGATATAAGCCTTTGGGAAGCTCAGATTTGGCAGACATGATGGAATGAGCACAGGTGTGGTAGTGAGATGGGCTGAAATAGATTTGATGAGATGGATTAAGTTTTTTTTTTCTGAAGTTGTGTTGCTCACACATGGTGGGTTATCAGAATAATACCCCAGAAATAACAACATCCTGTTGGCCTTTGAGCTGCCATTTATATTCCTTGGTATGTCGTAGTAAGTGTATTTCTGAACAAACCTGAATGTGTGTAAATGTGGTACTCATCAGGGGTTATACCATATACAGTAAGATGTGTCAGACATGCTCAAGTGAGAACCCACCATTCGGCTCTAATAATGTCTCGAATGGTTCTTTTCTTTCAAGAAAAATTTGTCTGCCTCACCCATCTACTGTATGTCAGACACCAGTTTCAACTGTATTTCCAGTGTATTCTACCAATATTTATGGTTCCTCTATTCACTCCTATTATATTTACAATCATTAAGAGCTGTGAAAACATAATGCTGATAATCTGAGGTGATTTCAGTGCCCTTTACTGCCTTTATTCACCAACTGTGGTTATTCTGTAGCAAACTAAAAGTGTTGTTCGCGTTTTTCTTTTGCTTCTCTTTTGTATTTCCCTACACTAGAGGGCAGTATAGCTCCAGAGCTGTTGATACAGTGCAATATTGTATTTCTAGGAAATATATATATATTTGATATATTAATAGAGATTAAATGGCAGTGATGTGAAGAATCCTCTTCTTACTTCACCGCAAAATTATTTGCTTTTAGAACAATTAATGGACTGACAGACTACCACATTACTTTTGCACCAGGATGACTGACCTTTCAGAAACTTATAAAATATATATTCATACACCACTACATTCAAAATGAAGTTGTTTGTGCTATATGTTATGTCGCTATAGGCTAAAGAGTGTATCTAACTAATAAAAAACACAGATCAAGATGACAGCATGACAGTGCCGTTTTCAGTGCTGTTTGCTGCCCCGTGGCTGAGTTTAGGAGACTTTAGAAGGCAGTGCTTTAGTCATCTCTGTGTCTCTTATTTCCAGCCGGGTGTTTTAAGTCCTGTTTCTGTTCTTGTTGTTTTCCAGATCATACACAAAACGAAATGTGTGCTGGTGTACCATTCAGGACAAACGATCATCTGTTGTGTAAATAACATCGACCAACACAGCTTCCTTCAGTGGGAAATCATTGATGTAATGCATGCTAACAACAGTGAGCGAAGGGCAGAAGAAATGAATATATATACCGCACACTTGACACCTATAGTCTATCTTCAACTAAATGTAGAGCGGAGTTGAACTGTGTTACTGTCCGGCATACAGTACTGTCTGCCTTTTCTAAGCAATATTGATGCATACATTTCTATATATGCACAAAGGAATTCAACATCACACATTCTGAATGAAAAGGTTGACAGTAGTGTACTAAATCCTGTCGAAAATGTATTGGTACTTCTGTAGACCAAGAAATACTTTTTGTTTCATTTTTAATTATTATGTATTTCGTTTCATGGTTTACAAAAAAAGAAAACAAAAGTGCACCTTGTATTTAAACAAAAATGCCAATTATAGATGAGTCAATTGTGCATGCACAGTGTTCTTTGTGTAGGGGTTCAATTTTTTTTAACGTAATAGATTGTAACAGGAGGTTTAGGAGGTATATGACAGATGAATGTGCTGAGCAAAAGCCACAACTGTGTATATTTTAAAGCACATCCTGGCTTTAATTACCATGTTGTAGGATACACATTAAGTGCCATACACTGTACATCCAAACTAGAGTATTATCCCTGCAGTGTTATTTGTTTTTACCTTATCCACATTTTATGATTTTTTTTAAAATATATATTTTTTGGCTAGTGCTGTTTACTGATGGCACAGTTACTGGTTTAGTGACTGAAACATTTCAGAAGTGGTATCTTCTGCTGGTGACATGTTGAGGACAGCTCAAACTAGGTTACAGTCAAACCTAACGTACAACACATTGCATGGAAACATAGTAAAACACGCAGTGTACTTTTTCCCTCTAGCATGAGGATGCCATTTCTGAGATGGAGCACAAAAGGGCCTTGCAGGTTTCTTAGCTCTGATTTCATTAGATACAGCAGTCAACAGACTATAAATGCTTTACAGAGAAGACTTTTGCATTGAGCTGAATGTTGCATTCAAGTCACTGTCAATGAGATGGAGACTCTAAATGGAAAGAGAAGAAACACTGTCAGAAGATGCATGATAAACCAAATCATTGAGTACAATGGACATGTTTAAAGTAGTTACAGGGAGGGATATGTGTTCGGGTGAATTTTATATGTGATTTTATTTTTATTATTATAATTATTATTATTATTTTTTTTTTTAAGAGTAACTGCATATAGCCTTAGACAGCCTTTAAGAAAAAAAAAACAAAAAAAGTTTTATTAGTTGGGTTATTTTTTTATTTTTGTTTTTGTTAATGGGTTCATCCAAAGGTATTCCTTTTTTTAAGGTTGTTTTTGCAGCTTGTGATGATCAGTGGAGCTCTGTTCAGCGAAGACCTGGGTCGCTGAAGGGGGGGCCAAGTTCCGAGAGTTTAGCACTGAATCGGAAGAAGTGAGAGTTCTGTTCTAGAATTTTCCGTACTTCCAAGTGTTTTGCAGGTTTTTAAAAAGAAGAGTGATGTGTTTCAAAAGTACAGGGATGATGTGTTGATTTTTCCTGATTGTACTGTACATCTATTAAAGCCTTAGATTACATTGTGGGTGTGAACCCGTTAAGATGTAATTTCAATCACAATGTAGGTAGTAAACTCAACATTTTTAGCATAGTTCTTACATCTAGAGTTTTACTTATTTTATTTCTCATTGCATTTATATATTTTCTTGTTTGTTTCTTACATTTTATTAGGTTGTTTTCATTTTATATTACTTAAAGGTTGGATACTGTTTTAATATTTAGTTCATAGATTTTTTTGTCTTATTAGATTTTACTGATAACTTTTGTAGAATATGGAATATTAAAAATAGTTTTTCTTCATACCATACTCATAGTTTGAATTTACATGTAGTGTCAAATTAAGTATTCGTATTGTAAACTAAATGATTTTTATTTTTTAGTGAAATGTAAGAATGTCAGTCATTTCCTTCTCTGGTCTGTTTGCATTCTTTGAACAAAGATATTTTATATGGATATCTTACAATGAGGTAATCATTGCTAAGAAATAAAATAACTTGTTGCTGTGGCAACAAACATGGCTGACAGTTGAGTAATATTTTGATGATTTATTTTGTTTGTAACTAGTCACTGTTATATAGAATAAATCTAGTTCCTAGATGTTAGAGTAAAAGTTATTTTCTACTGTATCCATTTCAAATAGTAAAATATTGTTTAAATATTTTTAAATCCCTGGATGTCAGGCCTTGTTAAAAAAAAAGCTGCATAATCAATAAATCGAGGGGCTTTGTGAATAACTAAAAAAAAAAAGTTTACGTATAGAAAAATGTAATCACTGAGCGAGCAAACTCTGAAACGTTGATTATGCTGCATTTGAAAGTGTTGGAGCCTAAGGGAAGAAGGTTGACTTTTTGCACTTCTGTATATAGTCAAAAAAGAAAGAAACATGTATAATAATAAGATCTTATTTTGAATAAAAAATGTCTATAATTAACAAGGAATTTTGTTAGATTATTAAAAAATAGAGGCTGAACAAAGTTGCTTGCAGGAAGTGGCTTGGAGTTCCACTCCTTACCTCCTTCAGAAAAGGCAAAATGTTGCTTCTGCTTTTTTGCCAGCAGCTTGTAGTTTGCCAACTGGAAGGATAATGACACACCCTCGAGACGCTGAGACCGAAAAACACTGCTCTGAGCCCTCCCTAAGATCACCTTCGAGAGCAGATCGTACCTACCACTGGGGTAGAACTATAAACCAATGTATTGTCTTTACATCAGTCAAACAGATTGCATGTTCAAGAAGAAGAGTGTGGAATAACAGCAAGGTTTATTTTAAATCTACAGTATAATATTATAAAATACTAAGAAAAAAATCAGTGGTTCATTGTTCAGGAATCTTAAATACTTTCTCACAAATTCAGAAATACAGTAAGAAAGACACGTGTGTAGCTGCAGTGGTCACACAAATTTGTTTTCTGTTGTAAACTGTACTTTTAGCAGATGAAACAAAGGTAACAGAAATCCAACTAGTCAAACTGATCTCTTCCCTAACCACCTGCATCTATAAAACCTACTCGTAAAAGAGCCAAAGTTCTGGTTTCGATTAAACTAGTGAAGTCAATCCACTGGTTTTATCTGAGAGTATTACAATTTGGTGATGCTTGATAATGTATTTCAAACATTTCTTCATCTGCTGAAAGGACAGATCCTTGGATTTTTCCTAATGTGTAATCAAAGACTTACATTATTGCTTGTAGTTGCTTAAATAATGTACTCTGTCCTCCGCTGCGATTTGTTTTATGCTAATTTTATTATTCCTGCTATATTTGATTCTTGCTGTTATGAAAAAAAACAATAAAAAATACATAAAATAAAGAGGATTTGCTCTAAAATTGAGTTTGCCTTTCTAGTATTCTCAACACCCAGCATGCCCTTAAAATGGACTATAATACAGTTTATGGCCACAAGATGTCGCCATCTCCCTGTTGTTATAGTTGCTGCGCATAAAACAATATAAAGTTGAGATAAAATAACTTAATTAGCCATATACAATTTCTTGCATAAGGAATTAGTCTTTTCACATACCCCAACTTGCTCTCCATGAGACACAGACAGGGAGAGACATTTTGGGGTCAGAGCACAGGGTCAGCTGTTCTATAGCCCCCCTGGGTTGGGGTTAAGGGCCACAGGATCCTTGCCGGCCACAGGATTTGAACCAGTAACCTTCCAGCCACAGGCACAGATCCTAAGCCACAGTGCCACCACTCCACCCTGCTTTGTCATAATGGTTTCCAGTTACTGGACATTTAGTTACTGTACTAATGTGAGTGGCAAATACCACCTTGTAAGTACCAGATGTGGATCCTGGATTGGCAATTTCAAATCCTATGTTAAAAATAGCTCATACAGGGCTCCCAAACGGAGGTTGAATGCCGTGTTCGGACATCACCAGATTATACCTGGGTCGTGTCACTAGCCCAATGTGAAAAGAACCTCCTAAACAGAGATGCACGATTAGCATTAAAGCAGAAATGAGGAGAACAAGCTAGTCTGCTCATCGCTGCTAGTCGTTATACGAACCAGAGTCATGCAGAATCTATTATGGCATGCACCGTGTGTCCATTGATGTGATTAATAATAATTCCTTACACTTATATAGCACTTTTCTGGACACTTGACTCCACCACCACCAGTGTGTAGCCCCACCTGCATGATGCCACACTCCAGCTCTCAGTGGGGAGGAGATGAGAGTGATGAAGCCAGTTCAGAGATGGGGATTATGAGAAGGCCATGATGGGTAAAGACCAATGTGAAATTTGGCCAGGACATCAGGGTAACACCCCTACTCTTTTCGAGAAAGGCCCTGGGATTTTTAGTTACCACAGAAGGTCTTTTAACTTTCCAGGGAGGTATTTGCCTTGGAATGTTCTTTTTCATAATAATAACTTTTATTTAGAAACTGCCTTTCCAAACCCAAGGCTGCTGCTGTACACCTTGAATTGACAAAAAAGAAAAAAGACAAAAAAGTACAATAAAAGTAAATGAAGAAAAAAAAAACAGTTTTTTTTTCCAGATGTAGGGCAATCAGATGTAGACCCTGGTAAAAAAGGTCAGCTTTAAGTGTAGATGTGAAGTGAGTTACAGAAGCTGTATCAGCGTCGAGCGTCAAGTCTGACGAAGGTCATTCCACAGCCCTGGAGCAGTGACAGAGAGGGCTCGGTCACATCAAGTCCGAAACGTAGTCTCTGGCACAGCGAGTAGAGGACCGGTCGCAAGTGACCAGAGCCTACGAGGGGAGAGTAAATGTGGAGGAGTTCAGAGATGTATGATGGAGTCAGGGTGTTCAGAGCCTTCTTTTTGCTGGGAGTTAGAGGTCAGAGGTGTGGGGAGGACAGGATCCCTTTGCCTCCTTGTGTATTGCGCAGCGCGGGCTGGTGGTGACAGGTCTCCTCCCCCTCTTTGCTCCCCCCAACATCCCAGACCTGGAAAAGCTGCCCCCAACACGGAGGAGGAAGATAGGGAGCGGCAGTTCCACGGCTGTCCTTCTCCCCCCTGCCCTGCAAATCGTCAGCAAGCGTGGATGAGGCACGGGCACACAGCCAGACGAGAAAACAACAAAAATATCTGGTTTCTGTTCTGAAAGGGAGCAGTGTGTGTGATGAGACCCGCGGAGGACGGTTTCATGCACAAAGTGAGGGAGCACCTGGAGAGTTTGATTTACCGCTTTCTAGAGCAAACATACGCTGAAAGGAGTGCCTGAACACACATGATCACAATGCAATCTGGCAGCTGATTAAACCTCCCTCTTTGGCATATTAAGATTCTCTTTTTTCTATACAAAGTAATGAAGGCCTGGACTAGATCATAGCTCCCACCCACCTTGAAAGAGGTTGTTGAAGGCGAGGTCCCTGTGCACAGTAGGAATCAGGCTCTGACAGAGAGAAACCCCCTCATGCGCTGTGTTTGTCTTGTGCTTTTGGTGAGTGGGCAGAGGTTTTGATTTAACACAGGCCCAGGTTTCTTGGCCAACAAATGCACCGATTGTAGTACAGATGGATTAGTGCCAGAAAAGTTTATTTCACATCTGTTTTGTCATTGTTGATTTTATTCAGGCCCTCTAAATTTTGTGATTTCTGTTGGCATTGAGCCCATCAGGTCTGTCGTGTGCTCAATAAAAAGGAATGTTTTATGGCGTCTGTGACACGGTGTGTGTGTGTGTGGTCTTTAGTCCAGGATATGCTGTCTCCCTGAGTGAGCAGATTAGTACAAAAATTATCTTCTTCAGTTCTTGGCCCTGATTTGATGTACAATACCAATCAGGTTCTTAAAAGATTCCCTTATCAATCTAAGTTAACTCAGAATTCCAAGAGACAATAAAATCAATTAAGGTCCTTTCAAGTCCAGGTCTGCAGCTCCACATTTTTTACAATTATGAGGGGCATTGTTTTATTGTCTGTAAATTTACGGAAGGTATTTTTTAAATCTCTGGTTTCTGAGTAGAATGTGTTTATTACTTATGGGACGGGATTCACTCAGCCAACAACTGAAGTAACTTTAGCCCCACTTCAGAACAGATTGGGTGGAGAAATAAGAAGTTACATCACCAATTTTCTAAGAGCAGTGGTCATAGTTTAAATTCCTGTGACAATGCGTGAGGGACACCGCCTCTTGGCTACGAGCGATGGAAGGACCGACGGGAGAGGAAGGACCCTGTGCGTTGTTCTGAAAGTTTCGGAAAATCTGGGAAAAGGGCAAAAGGGAAAGGAGATCGATAGCTACTCATCCCAGACGCTGGGCTGAAGTCGAAGTCGGGGGGCGAAGACCAAACGTTGAGTCAGGAAGAGTATATCTCTGCCTTGAATGGCGAGGTAGGAGCTCCTAGAAAGAGGCTGCGGACATTAGCGTGGTGTCGTGTTTGGATAACGGATCAGTGCGCTGGCGCTTGCTGGAATTACCCATAGCTGTGGCCTCATTAGTGAGAGGTCGTTTGCAGGATAGAATGTGGTTGCTGGCGGACGTGACACTTTCTGATTATTTACCCCTTTACCTGAATCTCTGCATTTTAAGAATCAATCTTTAATTCTTCTTCTTCATTTGTGTCATATGATCTTTTTCTATTTATACATACATCTACATACAGAACGCATCTGCTGGTCATTCCCTCTGTTGGTGAACAGGCTTTTTTCTTCTTTAATGAGTGCAGTGCTGTGAGCTCTTCTTATTACATGAATGAATTCTGAGCAACCTGAAGTAAAAATAATCTTGAACGTTTTCCTCACTGAAGCAATGGGCTGAGCTACAGTAACTTAATTTAATTCAGCTTTAATAATTGCAGTTTTGCTGCTAGTCTCAACTTTTGATATATGATGCAGTTCCCATATTAAAACTGTATTCCTCACTGACTAAGCAAATACACAAATTTAACTTAAAAAATCTCTGGAAGAACAGCTGCAGTAAATGCTAGATTGAAGACACACATCTTCTGTGCAGTCGCTGGCTTATTACAACACATTTATCTAAATGAAAACTACAACTGAAAGTTCTCGACATGTCTTTGACCCTTATGCCAGGTTTTTTTTTTGCTGAGCAGGTGGGTGTTAAATGGATTAATGTTGTGATTAGGGACACCCCGAAAGTAGGACTTGTGCTATTAAAAATGAAAATGAATTGCTATGTTGATAGAAAAGTTTGCACCTGTTTGCACGCGAGTTTTACTTGTTTTCTGGACAAGGCTTAGTTTGTAGATCTACAGGAGGGGCCGATTCATGTCCTGTTAATGTGATGGGTAGCGATACACTCATTCCAGATTGCGTTACTGTCACGATTATAGTCCCCCCTCCTTAAGGGTGCTCCAGCCCTTTCGCTTTATACTTAATTCTGTGCACCTGATCCCTTTTCCCAGCCCACCTTAAAAGCCAGGCGCTGACGCTCATCCTGGCTCTGCATCTGGTTTCCGCACCGTGCGAGTCCGGGACCTGGAAGCGCCTGGTTCCGTTCCTTGTCCGCCGGTTCCGACCCGGTTCATGGTTTTAATTCCTAGTTTGGATGGATCACCTGGCTATGGACTTATTTTTGTGTTTTTGGATTCCCTCTATGAATTACTTCTGGATTGTTCGCCTCGGCCACACCTCCCCGTGCACCAGCGCACTTTGGACACGCCCCCCTGTTTTCAGCCCCGTATCCCTGCATGACCTTTTCCTAGTGTTTCCCCACTTCTTCGGATTGTGTCGTCCGCATAGGGTCCGGAAAGAACTGTTCGTTACAGTTACGGTAGAGCTCCGAGACCAACGAAGTCGGGTTCAATGCTTTTGTCCCCTTGATCGTATGTTTCCTAGAAGAGTGCTGGGAGTCTGGATTCACCCACCGTGCCACGTTATTGAAACTGACTTAAGGGTCTTTTTTTCAAGAAACAGCTGGATGACGATCTTGGATCACTTGGCGGATGGGCTATCTGGGCGGAACGGCCCCATGACAGAGATAAATGGAATAGCAGGGATAACTGCGTTCCTCCAAATGCACATGTTTTAGCCCAGCAGTCACTCTGCTCTGTAAACAATCGAAGATCCAACAATGACCTCGCTCCCAGTAGCAACGCGAGCACCTGTACGACATAATGCAGAGCAACACAGGGCTGTCTTGACAAGCAGCTGTTGCTGCCTCTACTGCCGACAAACCCAGCCTCTGGCCTGTGGCCTGGAACAAAGTGTATGGATTCATTGACTGAATTAGCATCTGGGCTGTGCATGAGGTTGTTGTTGTTTTTTTTTTAAAAGCACATACGCTGGGGATTCTGTGAGATATATCGCCAGCACCCAAATAAAAAAACAACACCCGGGAGCAAGATGTATTTTCATGCACTTTGAAAATGATACGTAAGCTAACAGTGCTCCAGCTCA